AAAAAAACAAAAAACAAAAACATAGATATTAGTAAAATCGTAAAGTACAGTTTCGTAAAATCTTTTGATTACCAGATAATGYATGCAATCTTTTACAACTTCTAAAAAGAAAGGTATATTTGGGAGGCAAATTTATAAAAYTTATTAATTATTTCCTGTGTATAAGAAAGGATTCCATTAAGCAAATGGTAGGTACTTATTTTATCATTTAATTTTTTCAAACTTGTTTTGAAGGTTGCTGAACTGATTTACGGGTTGAAAGTACAACGAATTCACATCTAGAATATTTTTTCCCCTAATTAGTCGACGAACTGGAGGCAACACAAACATAAGCTCGTTTTGGATAATCATACTTGCTGGGAAAGCTAAATAAATGCCGAATATTTGGTGTTATATGTCCTGCTTTATATATTTTATTCAACATCAAAAAATATATATATCTATAGAAATATTAAACCTATTGACAAAGAACAAAAAAATTACGTTTTTCAGTTACCGAAMAAGTTCTTGACAGAAAACATGAATATAAAGGGTGTCAGCTAACTGTGAAAGAATRYCAACCGTCTATAGATGAGGTACATCAAGACGAACCTGAGGTATACTTGTTATTGTGCTTCTACGATTTACCAGTCTCTGTAATCTATAGTGTTTTTACTGTGAACGGCTTCTGTTTTGGTCTTTGGCCTTTGGTCTTGAATTTCGTTGACAACCCTCGCCCTATGGCTTAGACCTTTGTGTACTTAAAGTCCCAGTCTGCACACCTATTGTGTCTTTACTCTGTGCCCTGACTCTTATWATTTGGTTTGTTATAGTGCGCTTCTATCCTGGTCAGTGGTCTTTCCAATAATTGTACAAAGGACGCCCTAGAAATGTACTTTGAGAATGCTCGTCGATCTGGTGGTGGTGACGTCACTGATGTAGAAATGAAAGGGGATAAAGCTGTCGTTACCTTCGAGTCGTCAGATGGTAATTGTATTCATTAGCTAATTCATGTGTCTTGGAGAATGAATGAATTTTAGTTGCATGACATGGTTTACCTCGTTAATCGTTATATGATATTCTAAAAAAACAAATCTACTTTTTTGTCAGTKGCCAAGCGGGTGCTTGCCAGACCACATGAATATCAAGGGTGTCAGCTAACTGTGAAAGAATACAAGCCTTCCACAGATGAGGTACACCAAGACGAACCTCATGCTCATTATTGTTGTGCTGCTACCACTCTCTTCAGATATATTGCGTTAACCTTGCATTGCTGTCATTCGCTTTTTAGTGTGTTTCTGTCCTGGTCAGTGGCCTTTCCAACAAATGTACAAAAGACGCCCTAGAAATGTACTTTGAGAATGCTCGTCGATCTGGTGGTGGTGACGTCACTGATGTAGAAATGAAAGGGGATAAAGCTGTTGTTACCTTCGCGTCGTCAGATGGTAAATTGGTGTTATTTTTTTGCCATTGATACGATATTTTTTTAGATCATATTTAGAAATACATTATGAAAATAATTACATATCATGTCAGTACTTTTTGTTTTAGCTTGTAAAATKATTTGTGGTAATAATATTTTTTCAGTTGCCAAGCGGGTGCTCACAAGAACACATRAATATCAAGAGTGTCATCTAACTGTGGAAGAATACAAGCCGTCCACAGATGAGGTACTTATGCTAATATATAAAAAAATATAACATGATAGATCATTTATTGTACTCTAAAATTTGTTGAAAATGCGGTTGTTTATCATTTGGCATTACAACTTGAATTCTACTTCTTATATTCAAGCTTCTTTTAAAACCTTTGTGATTCCCATTCCAAACAACTAGTGAAACAAATAGCTAGAGTTCGAGATTCAGTTTGAAGATCCTCTTTTTAAGTGTTTGATCGACGTATATATACATACAAACGAGAATGGAATGGATGGTTCAGACCGAGTTAGTACTCACTAGGAAGCAGTTCCTAAAAGAGTAGAACGCGAAAAAAACGACGTTGAGAAGATATTACCGGTTTCAAATCATGGCTGATGAAAAACCATTCTTCTGAGCATGCATTGCGAGTCTCTAAGTAATATTGCAACCGGTGTACATTTTGTACTGCCAGGCAAAGTAGCTGAATAGCTTGTGACAAGCATATTAAAGAATAAGGGTAAGGAGCAGATGAACAGTTTTATAGAACAGCGTCTAAACACTAATAAACTAAGTACCTGGGAACCATGGTCAAATGTGCTAACGAGAAGCYTGATGATCTGTTTGGAAGACTGTTGATCGTTGCCAACGTCCGTCAAGCAAACTTGAGAGAATTTCTGTSCTTCGAGCTGCAATTGTATATTCTCTGGCCCATAGGGACTAAGACCAACCAAGAGCGTGCTTCTCCAGATATTGCAAAAGAACGTCACCGTCGAGCCACGGTTTACTTTTCTTTCAACCATGCCAACCGTTCATGTAYTAGATGCCATGGCTCTGGTTGCAGATGCTAAGATTTGCTGAGGCGTAAACCTTTGGAGATATGGCAGTAAAGTACTTTGAACTCTCACAGAACAATCTGCTGCTACCGCCAACACTGACAGTCTTAAACAACACACCGCTAAAGTCAGCTATCAAGCATACGTATGAAGAAAAGCACTGTCGGCAAAACAAGATTTACCMTCTCCTGGTGGACACGGAAGGAAGATAGACGATGGTTATCTTTGCCCCATCTTGATAACAAAGCCACTGACTCCGTCGAGTATCTTGACGCTCACCAACTGCAAGTGCTTTGCGGCAAAGTCAAACTGCACGAAGAACTGTTCCTGTAGCAACAATGGCTGCATTGCACTGAGGCGAAGGTATGCATGGCTGATGAGTACTGCTGGAACTCCAATAAGGACTTCCTTTATGAATCAGAGACGATGATCTTTATGAGGTGAAAAACGATGCCTATAGAAATTGACTCTTCCGAGAAACACACTTTGAGTAATGAAAATTATGCGTTTACCTTTGAACTGTTTAAGCGGCAGAARTTTCTGTATTTGGTCTATGTGTAATGACAAACAACAGGGTATTTTCTACACTCTTATGGATAAAATTATTTACCCCTAMGCAAAAGGATAAATTGTCTTTGGATAAGGTTTTGATACAATATGTAAATTTACGAGTTTTGAGTGGACGAAATGGACGTGCAGAAGTAGATTAGACCTGCAGAAGCAATCACGTGGTCACTCACGTAATGGTCAACTCACGTAATATCATATTAACACTTTTTGTAGAAGTAATCTAGCTATTATTAATTGTTGTAAGGTATTTGTACATTTTGCCCTAAAAAAAACAATGGTTAGCTGGTTATAGCTACTGGTAGCTTGCAAAAGCATACCCTTAACTCGGAAACGAAATCACWAACCGAAACATAGCTAGTGTTATTCAAAAAGGTTTGATATATCAGAGTCAGAACTAGACGAACTAGACGATGGGTCCTAGCTAGTTCCATGAATAGTTTTTTGCGTAGCCAGGTGTCATGGAATAACTTAAGTAGATCAAGGGGATYTAATTCATTATTGTTGTCAGGTGTTAAATCACTTAGTAATATTAATCCTTTGCCTATATTTAGAGATCTTTGTCAATAAGTAGTTTGTTAGCTTAGTATTGTTCCTGAAATATTTATATACGCCCTTTAAAAAGAAATGCGGAGAAGAAAGCGTTCAGTAGTTGTGAGCTGTGCAACGAAACACAGCGCGGTAGGTAGGTACGATAGGTACAAGAGAACTGAGAAGAAAACCGTCGTCCAAGGAAGCAACTCACACAGAGTTCAACTAGAAAAGATCGTACTGAAGCAGTTGAGAAGATAATGTTGAGAACGAAAAACCTTTGAAAGAAAACCTCAGCAGAAGGCTTGGGAAAGGTTATTTGGTAAAGATAAAGAAAGAAAGAACTGAGCTAGTACCGCAGAGAGGAATTAAGTCGAGAAGAAGACTGTACTAAACAAGAAAGACAACCGCTTGGGAATGAGAGACTTTACAGAAGCTTTGAAAACCAAAAAGTAAGCATGCTAAAACAAGGAACACTATTCCACCACGTTAGCTTATTTAGGTAGAAAAAAGGAAGAATCATAGTTTAGATATTTCTACAGAATCCAAAGTCAAAACATTAGAAATACAAACTTTACAAGATATTTAATAAGTTGCGTGATTTTAAAAACTTCACATCATTATTATCATATTATCATTTCCAAGTCTATGAATAAGTTACCAATCAAGTGGTATCGAGTTAACAGTTTATTTAAGTTATCTTAATTATCTAAGAAAATACACGTTATTAATTAGGGTGACACCCAACTGTTCGGTAACACCAGGTCCAGGCTCCCGTAATTATACATAAGTACAGTATGACCGTTGACATTGTGATTATATAAAATGCTGTAAATATTTTTTTATTATTTCATAGTGCGCTTCTGTCCTGGTCAGTGGCCTTTCCAGCAAATGTACCAAGGACGCCCTAGAAATGTACTTTGAGAATGCTCGTCGATCTGGTGGTGGTGACGTCACTGACGTAGAAATGAAAGGGGATRAAGCTGTTGTTACCTTCGTGTCGTCAGATGGTAATAGTATAATGAATTCATTAATGTGCTTTGGAGACCAACTTYATTTCAATGTCAAGTATTTCGTTATTTTTAATATGCTATTTTTTTAAAAAACCGCCATAGTTGTTTTATTTAACATTAATCAAATTAAAATGTTTTTTTTTTTAAGTTGCCAAGCGGGTACTCGCCAGAATACATGAATATCAAGGGTGTAAACTAACTGTAGAAGAATACAAACCGTCTTCATATGAGATACATCAAGATGAGCCCGAGGTACTCATAATAGTTCTATTTAACAAGTAGACCTCTCGCCCTCATGCTCTAATTTGATTTACTTTAAGCCTACTATTGTGTTTTCTTTTTGCGTTTTGACTATCAGTGAACTATCACTAACAGACCACTAGAAGCTCAGCCAATTGTAGCACATAATTTGAATTGTGATAGCCGTTAGTAGGTTTATACCKTGTAATATGGTTTAGTAAAATCCAACTAGTGTTCTATCATAGATGCTGCGTTCGGAATAGACGAGCTACTGCTAGGCTATAAGTTATATCCTACTAAGTGGCGGCTTTGAAAACCAATACATTAAATTTACTTTAATTCAAAACTTGTTTGCATCTATATATTTGACAGACTAGTTGGATTTGATTAAAACAATTAGTCCTCTCGCCCTCATGGCCTATGAGTCAATAGCCCGTTTTGGCTCGAGGACTAATGACTAAATGGTCTGTGTACATCAAGAAGTCTTTACGTTGCATTTCTGTTTTTTTTTTTCTTTTTTCATAGCGTTCGTGTGTGCTGGTGAGCGGCTTTTCAGACAATTGTACGAAAGAYGCCCTAGAAATGTACTTTGAGAATGCTCGTCGATCTGGTGGTAGTGACGTCACTGATGTAGAAATGAAAGGGGATAAGGCTGTCGTTACATTCGCATCGTCAGATGGTAATTTTATGTTAATCCATATGTTTTGGAGATCAAATATTTATATATAATACATTTCCTACAATGGTGCATTGCGTATGAATTATTATTGTATGGCGGCAAACGGCTTCTTAGCTTATRTTTATCATTTGAAAGGATATCCTGGAATAATTAGCTTGTTAGTTGTTGCCGACGTGCGTGCAGGGGCTGAAGGCCTGCTGTCATAGCGCGTCCTCATACTGGATCCAAGGAAAAATAATACACATAGCGCGTTCTTGCACCGCCTCTAAATCATTACTTAAATAATCAGGYAAGCTATTGTGATATACAGGACATGCATATTCAATCACGGGCCTGATACACGTGCGATGAAATTAGACTAGCTCACTACGCCTAACACTAGTTGTTTTCAGCTGGATAGAAAATATAAACGCTTAAGCGCTTTCTTAACAACCTCAGAGACATGGTCGTTCCGCTTATGATTGCTAGACACAATAAGACCAAGYATTTTGGCACTGTGGAATACTTCTAAATGTTTACCGTTGATTRAAATAGGCTGAAATTGCGCACTGACTTTGCGCATTAAAAGCGTCAGGTTAGTAACCTTTGATAGCAATTTTGACACTGCATTTTCAGTTGCCAAGCGGGTGCTCACAAGAACACATGAATATCAAGGGTGTCAACTAACGGTGGAAGAGTACAAGCCGTCTACAGATGAGGTACATCAAGATGAACACTTGTTGCTATATTATGCAATTTTGTTATAATAGAGAGCAAACATTTAATCCATGAAACAGTACTAAATATAATATATATATATATATATATTTAACAAATAGACATCAGTTTTTTATGTGTCTGTCCTCTTATTGACGATAAATTGCGTCATCACTTTGTCAACGTAGCATGGATTCACGAGGCGTAGCCGAGCCCACTTAGGAATTTTGTTACATGTACACAACCCACCACTGTCCACCCCAGGGGCTTGTTTCGTTCTTGAAAAATTGTTCAACAAAGTTTTCCATGGCCGACAATTTTAAACTTTGAATTCCTTGTTAATTTTACTTGAAAAACGAAAGATAATTACAGATAATTCAATAATATGTCAAGTTTAGTGAAATTTAACTTGGGTGTCTTTCATTAAATTCCAAATTTCGGAGATTTCCTATCTTTTTCTGGACAAATGAGCACGGCATATAAAGAAAGAGTATAAAACTGCTTACTCTTACTTCTTTTACATGACAATGTTTGGTTATCCATGAAGAATTTAGGTTTTTGTAAGAACCGTATTTTTACCGCAATGAAATTAAGAAAATAATAGATTAGGTAGCATCAGCGAGAGAAAATTGGCTGAAGATCATTAACTAACTAAACTTRTGAAAGATATAAAATTATTGAATGAAAGTCTTCTTTTGTTTGCCGATGGGAAACAAAAGTTGCAGTTGGTTGAAAGGAATCGAATTGCTAAAGATTTACGATGCTAAATAAAGGCCGAATATTTGTTGCAATATTTGCTCTCCGGATTGTATTTCATCCAGCATTAAAATCAATTAAGCTTATCTATAGAAATATTAAAAATTGAGAGAAATTCTTTGACTTGTCGATAAAAATTCTTGTCAAAATCAGTACTTCTTTCAGAAAACTTCTTGATCTACCTATATGAATTTTTTTTAAATTGTTGTTGGTCTATAATTTGTCCTAAAACTATTTTTTCTGTGCATTTGAGATCCGCATTTACGAGAAGTTTTTCTTTGACATCAACTGGGTTCCCTGTGTTGTGTACACGGACAGACGGACGGACGTAAGTGACGTCAGCCAAGCCATGAAAAATCAACTCGATGTTTTACCATTTTTTCTTAAGTATGGGAGTTCCGCTAAAATGGAAAGGATTATTTATTGTGGAATGAYATAAATCAAAGATCATACTTCTTCATTTGTCTCACGATTGTGGCAGTTTAAGGAGGACAGCGATGTTTCGGCTGCTACTGCTAGTCATCATCAGGCGGTGGTGTAGACTTGAATGTAGTATTCTTATATTCCGTCAGCCTGGAATATAATACTAAATRAATTTTACTAAATATTACAGAATATACTAATTCAGCTAACGCCATGATTTACCCAATTCAAATATATACTAAGAATACTTTTCTTTGTCCATTATATTTAAATGTCATTGAAGCATTGATATGGATATGATATGTAAATCAATAGACAAAGGAAAGTATTCCTAGTAGATTTTAATTGGGTAAAACATTGCGTTAACCGAATTGGTCTATATTGGACTGTCTATATTGTTTTCTATTATTTTTCCACGAGTATTTAATACTAGTGATTTAGTTTATTTGATGGATATATTGTTTGCATTGTTACTTCCTTACATCAATTAAGTTGCATTCCTGTTGTTTGGTTTTCCATAGTGTTCTAGTGTGTTGGTCAGCGGCTTTTTAGATAATTGTACGAAAGACGCCCTAGAAATGTACTTTGAGAATGCTCGTCGATCTGGTGGTGGTGACGTCAATGATGTAGAACTGAAAGGGGATAAAGCTSTCGTTACCTTCGCGTCGTCAGATGGTAATTTTATGTTAATGCATATGTTTTGGAAATCAATTTCGGTACTATACAACATTGTGATTTTTGATTATTTTATGCGTTTTTCAGTTGCCAAGCGTGTGCTCGCCAGATCACATGAATATCAAGGGTGTCAACTAACTGTGGAAGAATACCGGCCGTCCACAGATGAGGTACAATAATCGCTATTATCATATGACCCGTACGGCCCTGCTCACGCGCTCTAATAAAACTATTGGAAAAAGTCACATGATGGGGGCCGGACGGGTTGACGTAAGCGGGCCGGAAAAAACTCGTCCGGCCCTGCTCGAATCCGCGCGCTTTCTTTTTTTTTTATTATTTTTATTTTCGTGAGGGTCATATGATAAAATGCTTATTGACTGAGTTAGGTCGGGCCGTACGGGAAAATATTTGGCTCTCGGTCATTTGTACGGCATCACCTCGAGCCAAATATTTTCCCGTACGGCCCGACCTAACTCAGTCAATAAGTATATAATAGATTATTCTAGTAACTGTATAGCTATCTATTTATAACCCCTTTTGGGTAACCAATRGGAAATAGGACTCCATGATGTTCGCTCCAAGTAAGAAATGATTAGACTCGAAAAATTCCTTTGACAGCCAAAGTGTACACGGCCTACAGTCTCCGCGTCCAATTTTGACAGTCCTCGGACTTTTCYCCGTCCAATCATTTCTTATTTGGACAACGTGGTCAGCATTAATCATAATCATAACGACACCATTAGGTTAAAACGCGTGCCAGTAATTAACTCGCACGGGGCTACGACGCTACGCAGGCTAATAAACTTGTGGCCCAATCATTGCTGAATAAATAGACAAAGATATCTGATTGCTAGCCACTGACAAAGTATGGTAGCTTTATCATTAGTAGCTTAGTGTTATTTATATATGTTTATTGAATTTACTTTTTTCATAGTGTACTTCTATCTTGGTCAGTGGCTTCTCCAATAATTGTACAAAAGACGCCCYAGAAATGTACTTTGAGAAYGCTCGTCGATCTGGTGGTGGTGACGTCACTGATGTAGAAATGAAAGGGGATAAAGCTGTTGTTACTTTCGCGTCGTCAGATGGTAATTKTAAGATGAKCTGATTTTGTGTTTTCGAAATCAAATCAACAAAAAACCYACACRKCRCACAGAATTGACTGACACATCCGGGAAATTAGAGAATAAAYTACTAGATTCCAGTTTCCGAATATCAATTTTMCTCTCACGGMCATKTGTATTTATAAGGCAAAGTCATAATATTGAAACTTTAAGCACTTCGTGAAGAGAATTGAAAGTTAATGCAAGAAAGGTAACAGGAATATTAAAGAATGACAACCACACCATATAAGCTTACTATTTATTTTGGTGATTCAATTTGCCATCATGCGATTTTTTGCGGCTCAATTTCAGGTTTCGTAGTGTTTATATGTATGGAAATTTATCATTCCTGTACCTCGTTCGGGTCCTGCTGTTCGTCGTGAATAAAATCATTTAGGGTAACAACTGAAATTGGTTGCCCAACCATTGCTTTTAAAATTGCTTCCAAAATCCAGCTGTCTCTTAAGCTGAAAGCAAGTAGCGATTTTCCAGGAGTTTTAACTTAACCTGACAAAGCAAAACGGTCCAAAATGACAACTTTCCAGTGCTTTTTTTGATATAAGAAATCATCCTTCTACCGCCATTTGTGTAGGCCTAGAAACCTGGCCTCTATATTGCTCACTATCCATAATTTAGTCTCCAGATCTCRCTTTAAAACGGACAAATTTGCTCACGAACTCAGCATATATTTTGGTACTGTTCGAGAAGCTGTTCGAGTGGAGACTGGTACCTTATTTGAAGAAAATGCCCGCAAATTTTGCTTTAAGAAATATTTTAAATCTTTTTTTCCAATTTTTTTCAAATTATTTTAATAATATGAAGATATTACATTGTTTCTTTAAAAAATGCTTCCCCATTCTTCACATAATCTCTTTCATTTGGAAAGTCCAGAGTTGATGGGCAATTCCGTGCGATGAAAAATCAACTTTYAACTTCCAATTGGAATTCATTGGAAAAAAGAGCCACTCTGCGGAAATGCCATTATCATATAACTCCTATTTATTTATTTACTACGATCATTAGTTGTACCACGATTGATTGATTGATTGATTCATCTCTTCTTCTCCC